GGGGGGGGGGGGATACAAGAGCCCAATTAATCATGGATAATTTTCACTTTTTTTTGAATTAATATTCTGAAATTAAATATGTTTGAATGTATAGAATTGTTATTATAATTATTCGGAATTCAATACTTGAAGTTGAATTTTGGAAGATTCTTGATTTCGGAAAACTCTAAAAACCTTTTTTCACACTTTCGCTTCAAATCACTCATAAAAATTCAATATTTTCTCAAATTGTAGTCATGTCCAAACACAACTTGAATTTTCAATTCATTTTTCAAATTTCACATTTTTTATGTTCAAACGTCCGTTGAATAGAAAAAAATTGAGACTTGTGATATGCATATATAAATAGGTAGCTAATAATGTGTAAAAATTTACTTGAATTGAGGAGTGTTGGAGGGCCATTGATTATGATTATCATCAGTTAGAAGGAATACATCTTCCCAATCCACATTTTCAACTTTGCCATTTTTATTGCTTTCCACAAACTCATTAAGCAAATTGACTGCTCTTGACTTGTTGAAAACTTCTTCTCTTTCCAACTTAAAGCATTCTCCACCCACCTTCTTCACCCTTTCTAACAACTCCACTGGAATCCCATGATTCACCAACTGCATACACAAAATTCTCACACTTAATTACCTTCAGATTTAATTATATCCATCATACTATATATTATAATATATTTACTATATTTATATGCCTCAATTCCAAGTAAGTCGTGATATAGTGATTGACTATATATATGTCTATCATCACACTAAAGATATATCCTCAATTGACTAGTTTTACGTTGATTTAAAGTATTATCCTTCTTTCTTCATCAAGGCTTGAGATATATATATATATATATATATATGCAAAAAAAGGAAGAATTTTGAAAATGATATAGAATATTTTTCTTACTATCAATTAAGACCGATATTCATGGGTGAGGTCATGAAGTCTCACAGTGATTAATATGATGAGTGGTTTTCTTATATGATCTTGGACAATCATTTCTTCATAAACTACCTTTTGGAGTTACGTTAGGCTCAAGATTCATTTGTCAGCAACAGAATTTAAGAAGAGGTTGCAATTCCCCTTTTATTTAATTTTGACTCTTGGGTGAGTACCAATAGAAACACAAGCCATATTTGATTTTAAATATCCATGCATAAACTTTCACAATAAAAATAAATAAATTGCAAAAAAATATATATACCTGAAAGAATCCCCATTCTTCACAACCTTTGGAAATTTGAGCCAAAGTTTGGGCTCTTTCCTCTCCATCAAGTTTTGAAAAATCAATAACCGGAATAGTAGTCATTGTTAAATAACAAATTAAACACACAAAAAAAGAGATTAATTAGAGAATATATAGAGAATAACAGCAATTGTAGCAGTTTGGTGGTCTAGAAAATATTCACAAACACCCTTTTTATAGCCAATAATATTCTCCCTAAAAATAAACAACAAATTAAAAGCAATATTATATTTTAGCAGTTAAGAGTACGTTAATTAAATGGCCGGTGACACGATATTAATTGTTTTTTACTTTAAAACAAGGTCAATGTTCTTTGTGAGGCATTGCGATCTCCCACAACAGAAGCATTATACGTAGCTAGTGATGATATATTATAAATATATATTTTAACTTTACTATCTTCGTTTTAATTTGTTTGACGAACTTTTCGTTATAATCTTTGTTAAAAAAAGGTTATTAAATTCTATAATTAGTACTAACTCTTTAACGCAACATCCTATTAGTTAGGAATCGTCTGGTAGCTGATTTATAAATGAGTTATGCAGGTATTATATAAATTCTACATAAGCAATACCAAGATTGGTAACTCATTAATTAAAGATAAATAAGATAAATTATGTATATATAAAAATTAATATAAACATAAGAGATTTTATATTATAATTTATACATGATATAAGATGAAATAATTAATTCATGCATGATTAATATATCTATATAAAATATTACATAAATTATCTCAAAACTAATTTTTACATATTATTAATATCAGTATAACTCTAACTAACTACTTTTCTTTTTCACCAACTACCGACTAAAACGGTTAATTATGTTGACTAATTTTCACAGTTAATCATGTGTTGACTATACAGCTTATCTTGCCGTCCTGAGCCTTTGACTTTTTAAAATTATTATTATTATTATTATAGTTAAACACGTCATAATTTTACATGTAAGCAATCTTATTAATAAAGTAATTTGCACTAATTTGCAGGCGTTGTTTGAGGGCAAAGGAACATTGATGACTTTTATTGTGGAAAAGAAGAATAGCAAACCCCTAATTTACTACAGTATTAATAAATTGTCAATGCCAAGGTATTGCTAAAGTAAAACTTGGCTACTCTCTCCGATTCATGTTACTTGACCTTTGCTGACCTAACAAATTCCTTTAAAAAGCTTTAACTAGAGGTTTATTAGACTAAAGTAATCTTATTAATAATGTTTTGAAACTCTAATTTTGATTACGCATTACTATTTCATGTAGTTATTTAATACAATAATATGAGAAAAAATAATAATAAAACTCTCTTGATTTGCTAAAATGACAAGTAAAATTATTAAACAACTATTTTTGTTATAGAGCCAAGTAAAATGAAACATCTTAGTTATAGAGGCCACGCAAAATGAAATGAAGAGAGTATTTTACAATAACAAGCTCATTGTAATCACAGAAGTGGGTTGGAAGGGTAAAATGTACATAAATCTTATTTCTGCTTACGTGAGGATAGAGAGAATATTTTTGATAAACCATCCTTCAGTAAAAAGTCTTTCAAGTAGATTTGCATGAAAAATATGAAGCAAAAAAAAATAGTTGATAGCAATATACATAGAAAAACTTGCCTAGAACTTAGAAGGAAATAAAGAAAAAGAGAGAATTATAGTGATAAATGATAATAATTCAGATTTGGGCAATTTAACACTTTACCATATTTGGTACACCGTTGATTTTATTCTGATTGTCCGAATATTAAAGTTAATCATTGATGGGATACACAGGAAAAATAATAATTATTGATGGGTACGCACTATAGTCTATATATACATTTATATGATCAAGTATTAAATAAAATACACAAAATCCAAATATATGTTCTTGATTTATATACCCTCTGATCAAGAACATAATTTTGGATTTTGTGTTAACCATTGACGGTACTTTTTAAACCATTTATCCATCAATTATATGGAGTAATTCACTCCAAAAAAAGAGAGAATTAATTGTTTACTTGTTTGAGCAGGTATAAATTAATTATATACAAATTATACAAGATTATACACATATTATACATAAACTATACATATATTATATATTTGTCGGCGACATATATTTTATATTTATTTGATGAGATCTCAAAAAATGTGAGAAGGAATTAAAAACAGTGTTATTCAAATAATTCAATAGCCTAGAAAATGTTATGACTACCTCTTTGTCGAAACGTAAGAACCCAGAAAATGTTTGTTTTACGTGAGAAAAGTTAATTAAATAACCCAACATACTCTCTTTTAATTTAACAAAAAATAAGTAATACTTTTTGAGAAGTTAATTTTTTGGAGTTCTTTCTGTGTACCTAGTAAGTTTTTTGGACAATTAACTACCACAATTGTCCGCAAGAAAATATATAAAATCATCGAACATTAAAAAATTAAATAACTTGTAAGAGTGGCCGACTTGGTTGAGCAGTGATCTCCCAAATGAGGACCTCAGGTTCGATTTTGAAGCCCCCTTCATGTTTCACTTGAGCTCGTAACACGAAAGGAAGATGTCAAGTGCAGTTTACCTTTTCTATACATATGATTTGCGGGCTATTACACAAAATTTACCTCGTATGCCCACCCGAAAGATAGCGATGTGGTATCTCACTTTATTAGCAAAAACAACAAATTAAAGGTACTAGATTATGTTTTATGTTTTCCCTTGTTAACAAAAACAACAACATTAAAAAATTTAAATTGGTGAATCTAAAATAATCATTAGACTTTAATTTTATTTCATTCAGTGCCAAAACATTCTCCATTTCCCCTATACCAGTACGTATAAGCCACTTTACAGAAAAAGGGAATATAAACAAGTAACAACTAAATCTATAATAATTATCTAGATCTTTTTGAATGGCCTTAAAAAATATTGCACAAATTAAATATTTCTAACAAATTGCTAATCAATATGCATATGTCGTTAGTTAGCGTAATAGAGTTGAGTACCATGTATTATAAGTAATTAAGTATAAATAACAACCAATAATTACTTAATTAATTCATTAGTGTGAGCCATATATGATCTCCTATGACTCTAATTTAGTCAAATATGGTACCTGGCTCCCTAATCATTTGAGTCAAATAATACTGATTTTTTTTTATTATTGTAAGGATCGGAATTTCGAGATAGTGCGAAATTTAATTAATAAAATAGTGTTATAAAATGACAATAACAAAGACTTATGATGAGATTTTATTTTACTGAAAAAACAAATTTCGAAATATAAATGCCATAGAAGATTAAGAGTAAGTCGTGTTATTGCTTTGTTCTTTATAATACATAAAAGATAGAGTAATATAATTTATCAAACGAATAATATCTCTGATTAGCACACAATATATTATAAATGGTGTGTTTTGCTAGTCAAAGATAATATCGTATAAGGATCATCTTCATAGATATTGATACAAGTAATAATTCAAATAAAACTTACTAACTATTTATCGACAACAAAACTAACTAAAGACAATTGATAATGAAAACAATGATTATTATCAATCATTAACATAAAGTTAGAGGATTGTATTGTTTCTGACTTTTCGTAATTAAGTTATGTCTTGACCAAAAGTTATTGACATGTGACCAAAACTTGACAGGTATAACTATGGTTCCCTTCTTGTAAGCTCTACTTCAGAGTGAAACAAATAATAATATAGATTAGCATTTAAGCTTCAATTTGTTTATTCCAAATATATCATGGTTGGATTATTTTGGTCTTTAATTAGTTCCATACCAAATAAACCATAAGATATTGTTGTCAATCTATAAATTTCTTGTCTTTATATATCTATGAAAGAAGGGTCAATAAACATGGACAAGCTGGAATACAAAGTAATCTTTCATGAGTATTTCTGAGATTATTGAAACATTTGGTCAAAATCTAGCTACTTGCAATTTCACTGTCTAGTGACTACATACATTGGAACAGGAAAAAATATAGTGAAAATAATAATGGAATTAATTGCCAAGAATCCAGGATAGATAGATCATTGTCTTCTAAAATAGTATTTAAATTAAATAATTAAGCAAGCAACATTCATTGCATCATGAGGAAATTGGAATTTGAAGTAGCTAGTTGTTTGATTTAATCCCTTTTATTTGAAGAAGTTTAATTTGTGCTCTTCCTCATCACATGTTTCTAACTAGTAGATTAATAATGAAAATGTTTAGGATGCATGTACTTATTATACTTCTACTCATGGTCATTTTTTAGATTATAAAAATGATTTTTAATTGATATATATCAGTGTATATTTGATACTGAATAATTATAGTTCATATCTTCTTCGAAATGAAATGGTGAAACACAAATACATTGTATGTTACTAACAATTGATACATGTATGTTATGAAACCGATACACATTGGTACAAAAGGTGTAGAAAACACAAATACTCTTATGTACTTCTGATAAGATACATATGTGTATTTAAAATTGAAATTCTGAAACACGGATACAAAGAGGACGAATACAAAGAGGGAGTGGGACAAGAGAGGCAAGAGATGAGTGATAAAAGAGAGAGGAAAGAGTTGAGCACGAGAGTAAGAAAAAAAATATCGTGAGATATTGCCTCTATGTAAGTGAGATAAAGTGTATACGACTTAAAACTAGGAGTAATTGTCTTTATAACAATGAATTTGATAATAAAAATAAATATTACTCTATCTAATTAAAAAAAAAAAAACTCAAAAATAAAAGTTGGACGATGTAGCCAAAAAAAAGGACAAGTTGGAGGAAGAAGATTTGCGGGACATGAAATAAGTTGACATTTGATGAATATTACTAACAAGAAGCAAAGTAGGAGTTAGAAGAAAGAGAAAACTATATAAAATAGATCCAATTGTGAAATTATTTATCTAAATTGGATTCAATCAAAATTATTTATTTTTAATGGACTTATGCCATAAATTATTTATACCTACTTACCCCCACTTTCTTCTTTTTTATTTCACGCATGATGTCAGTATCATACTATGAATTAATCTTATGTGATACTTCATCGGTATATTTATAACATATCGGTATCATATATGACTGGATTAATCCTCTGTGATACTCCGTCGGTATATTGATACTCTATCGGTATCA